TTCATAGAATATGAGCAAAAAAAGGGATTTTGGACAAATGGCGGCCATTTTGTTTGGCGTCATATTTAGACCCTTTGCGGTAGTTCAATTTCAGACAACTTTTGATATGTTGTTGTTTAGACCATATACTACAGGAAACAATAACAAAACGTTTTTTTGCAATTTTTTTTAGGTTGGCCCATTTTTTTCCATTAATTTGACCCTACTACTAGGGATGTAAGTCCCTATTAAGTTCAGGTGGATATCTTCTGATATTTTTAGCTTGGATCTTCCAGGATTTCTTGTTCTGTTGGTTAGCAGTGAGTATCTGGACCTCATTCCATTTAACTCTATGTTGTGGGTGGTTCTGGAGATGTTCCGCTATACCTGAGTTATTAGTGGCAGATTTGGGCCTATGTTCTCTTATTTTTTTTTTGACAATTGGTCGTTTCGTTTCCCCAATATATGATTGATTACAGAAACAAATCACTTGATAGACGACTCCTTTGGGTTGAATCGTGAGAATTGGTGGGGGCCGAGAATGTGGTATCTATGTTCGATATCTTTAGTACATTGCCCACTTTGTATGTTAGATTACCATAAAGGGGTAAGGTTATACTGATGGGGGGATTTGTCAGGTTTTTGATGATCGATCTGTCCTGGTGTTTTTTTATCGTGTCATTGACCTGCTTATTCACTTGTAAGGGGGATAATTATTCAAGTTACAAAACACATGGCGTAAATGGTCTAATTTTTCCTGCAGGAATTCGGTTCACAAATGTTTGCTCTCCTAGCAAAGGGCTCTTTTGATATAGTGGAGATGACTGGAGTTGTAATTATTATATTGGTCTGTGTGGGTTGGTTTGCGGTATATTTTTGTTTTCATTTGATTATTCACTTTTATAACCTGTACGTCTAAAAATGGTAAGGTCTCATCCTTTTCTGTTTCAATAGTAAATATAATTCTGGGATGCTGTTTCTTCAGGTGTTCTAGTAGGGACATTGGTTCATCATTTTCTTCAAGCACACAAACGTATCATCGACCTTGCGAAGCCAAAGAATTGGAGTAATGGGAGAGGTTCTTGGCGCACACTTTTCAAATTCTGTCATGAAAATTTCATGACCATAGACAAGCCGTTGACATGCTTGTATATGTCGTCACCCAAGGTGAAGAATGTACAATCAATGCACATAGTAACTAATTCCAGGATGCTGTCTGTTGATAACTTAGTTTCTAGGGGTACTTCTAATTCATTTCAATGGCTTTTTGGCGGGAACGTTGGTAAACAGGTCAACCACATCATACGACATGATTCTTTCAGGGCGGGTTAGGTCTCTAATTGTGTTGCAAAAGCCACCAGAGATTTTGATAAAGGATGTAGAGGAAGTTCCCAAAGGAACAAGTAGCTTAGACATATATTTAGCAACATTATAAAAAACTATATGTCTTCAACAGACTAATAATCTGGCCTTAATGGGGTTTTTTGTGAGTTTTGATAGTGGCTCGGGCATAAGGGGGACGTGGGTGGTTAGGTTTCAACTGGTAGGAACGATCTTTGGTTAGTTGTTGGGAGTCACATAATGTTGTTGTTGGATTTTATTTTGGTTGTTCTGTAGGTAGTGGCATCATTAAGCAGTTGGTTGACGGTGTTCATGATGACAGTGGATTTCCCTTTATCAGCTAGTATGATCCTTATATGCTTGTCGTTTTTTAGATCTTGTATGGGTTTAGTCTCGCCCTTGGTAATATTGTGGGAGTTCTTCTTTGTGGTGGGTTTAATTATTAGGTTGGCTATCTGGTGGCGAAGGGAATCAGCTTTACCCTCTGGTGCTAGTTGGCATAAACCTTTCTCAATGTTAGGGATAAATACATCATTATTTCTTGGTGTCCAGGATGGTGCAAACTTCAGACCCTTTGATAGTAAAATGATTTGGTCGTCGGTTAGATCTTTACTGCTGAGTTTGACAACTGTCTTAGTAAGGAAGTCAGTCTAGTGCTTAGTTGTGTCTGCTTTCTTGGTTGTGGCATTATCATTCTTTAGTTGTTCAAACTTTTTGAGGTGTCGTTGTTTAATTCTTCCTTCGCTGGCTTGGTTGGTGGAAGTCTGAGCCTTGCGGATGGAATTAAAATCTCTGTAGTAAGTAGATGATTGAGTTCCAGATGTGATGCCTCTATTGCTTGTGGAAGTCGGTGCTTCACATCCTAGGGATTTACTAGCTTGGGGTAAGATCTTATTTGCAGCATTGAAGTTAACTGGACCTTTAAGTTTTAATCCTTGTGGCATAATGTCATCGTCTCTGTGCCTTATAAGAAATGTTAAATTGTTACACACTCTTATATATTTTGAAGGGCCTCACACTCGACAATAACCCCCTACTCATGCATTAGTGTTATTCGGTGATCTAATTACCTTGTTGTGCTTGCTGTTTTTGTTGAATATCCTTTACCTCTTAGATTCTTTTTCTTACTGTTATTTTAATCCATGTAGATGGTTTCACTATGAATTTCATATATATTGACCTCAAGTTTACTCAATTTCATTGTGCTTGATAACGATAAGAGGATACTTGTCGAAACGTCGTGTTTTTAGAATAAAATTAGTGACAAAATCAGGCTTTCACGCTCGCTGGGTAGCCGAAGGGAAGGTCATAAGTTGTGCATAATTTTGTAGTGATCAGACTTCGGTTATTAAGCTCTGTATTTAGGGGCAGATCATCGTATATATTTATGGGCTGTCACGACTATCATAAAGTTAATATATATATTATCCACATCCTCATGTAAAAAGAACCACAAGAACAAATGTTTTTAAGAGTTCATTGAGAGGCATTTAATATCTGGCGGTGTCATGCTTTCCATGTTGAAATTCCCGAAGGTGAAGATGGCATAGATCATAACAGGTTTCATGGCACACCAGACAATCCAGGGTAATTCTAACTGTACGTGCCAACCTCTGGCATATACCTATTTTCGAGAAGAAGTGTTCACTTAAAATCCTGACCTGCCTTCCTATTTTCTTAGTTTTGGGACCCCATTTTTGTAATGATGTTTTGGCCAATATATGTCATCTTCTCCTTCAGTAGATTTCAGTATGGAATGTATGTTGTCTCCTGATATTTACTAACTCTCCATTAAAACTTCCAAATGTTTCCCCGTCTTCATTAGCCAGGTTAGGGGCAGAACAGTGGGACGTTAAACCCCATTTCATTTCATTTCCAAATGTTTCTATACACTGATCGACTTCTAAATACAGATGGGAATAAGCGCGGTCTAATTTTTGACAAACATAACCTATTTGGCACATTCAGGTAACCAACCATGCAAGAAAAGGTGATAATCAGCGGTCATTTAAAGTCGACAGTGGAGAGACGCACCCGTCGAACAATGCCATACTTAAAATCTCTATATATGTGTACGTACATGTATGCAATTCTAACATTCCATCCATTGTTAATTTGAAAGATATAATGGTAATCAATTTTAGCACGTGTAATCAGCCAGGAGAACGTATTGAATATGCTGCTACGAACCCCCTGCAGCTATTGACAACGTTGTGATCTTTAACCCGAGAGCTGAAATATGTTTCATTTGATTACGCTATCATATTCATATAAGATTTATTCTGTGTAAATATCATTGGACAACCGTGAAACCTGTCACATGCGCTTTAGATCATAAGGTATGTCATAGAGTTAAGTGGCGTAGGTAACAGGGTCTAGTGTTGTCTGTCCTATCTCTCAGACTCTCTCAGAGTGGACCTTAAAGGGACAATAACACTCTTGCTGGCTTGACAGCTCCAGAAAATACAAAATAGCCTTATTATAAGTACTAAATGTGTTAGTGTCTTACCTGTTGTGTAAATTATCCATTAAATCATATTTTACTTGTCCAGAGGGTTAAAAAATATTTTTAAATCCAATTCACATTTGAAAAGCTTTACGTCAGGCTTTTCAAATCATTTAGTTGAATTTTTCCAATTTTTTAAATTAGGTGTGTTAAGATGAAATTTGTATCATCAATTAATTGGAATATTGTAAAATAGTACAATTTGTTGACAATAATAAAGATTGGGACATATTATTCAGTTACAACAAGAGTGGTATTGAGCCTTTAATCCTCATTTTTCTCTCAAGTCAAAATCATCCTTGATGGCGACTCAATGGAATATATATAAACTTAGTAAAGGTGACCAAACATATGCATCACCATAATGTTCGTCCCAAAATGACCTAGCCTGCGTCCAGTGGATGTTAAACCCTTTTCCCCCTCTTAAGTCTAAATCATAATCATCCCTGCTAATGATTATATGGAATATATGAAATTTGTAAAGATGTCCATACGCATTCTTCATCAGGGGTATTGATAAACGGAACATTTCATCCCAATTTTAGGAGTTTTTAATTTATTTTCCTTTTTTATTATGCCTGTGCCGGTCATTTTTATTTTTTATGCTGTTAGTAGGAAGGTTGCTAGTTGTGGGTAACATTCAACTTTGGTCCTAGTCCCTGCTAAGAACGATCTATAGCGTCTCAAAATTTGGCTTCCATTAAATTCAATTTTCAGAGAGAGTTGAGTTTCGGCCAGTACCAAGATATCATTTGCAGTAGAAACTTCAAACTCTGCGTGTAGGAGGCGACTGAATGGTCCTACTAAAGCCCACAATTTTGTCTGTCCAAATCAATTATTATCCAAATAACAGATCATCCAAATTTAGTTCCAAATTAGCCCATTTTATTGAATATTTTTCTATTAAAAACATATTTTTCCGATTTGCCAAATTGGTATCAACTGCTAATATTTTGTGGGGTGTATCTGGGTACTACCCCAACACATAGAAAAAAATTGGTCCAAATTCCCGACCCAAGACTTATCACTGTCTGCATGGTGCTGTCGGGGACACACTCTTAATCAAAACTCACCACCTATTTTGGAGGGGTAGGTCAAAGTTTCAGAAAGATCCCATGGTTAGATTCTTAGAAATCCGATTTGTAGAAAACACAAAAATAAAATAATAACAATCTTAACAGAAACAATTAGCTTTCATATGAAATAAAAGAAAAAAAAATCATGAAAATATATAAGAACCAGAAACTTAATTTAAAGATTAAAATCTGATACCACTCAACTGGGTTGATGAAAAGTTATCTAGCAGAATGTTTCATAAAAAAAGTATAAACAGTGACAGAAATCATGTTTTGTTTTTATGAAAAACAAACAAGCCCAATGTACAAGAAACCGCGACACCCCACATTTAAATTAAGTATCTTACTTTACGGATTTATTAATTAAAGTGATGGTAATGTTAAACAAGATCCGTGCAGCGAGATCGAGGACATCTTTGTTCTTGGTATACCATTTTGGACTGACCCAAGCGTTGGCATCAAAATTAAATCCGCTACTATAATGATGTCGTTTCTTCTGCTTCCGAGTCCTCGGTTGCCGGGTTTTCCTGGTCCATTTTTTCAAGGCTAATTGTTATCGTTTTTGGCGTTGATTCACTGGGAACTGATGTAGATGACTAAAAATGATATTGTAAAGAATAAAGTCACTATTACTCGTTATAAAGACAATAATTAATTATAAAATTCAATTCTCCTTAAACATACATTATGCAAGAGCTAAATCTGTCTATTGCAGGTCTTTCATTAGGCCTGAAATGTTATCTAAATTATTAATTAGACATTAATTAACCTATACAGGCCATAATCAACTTTCGATGGCGTCGCTAGCCTGCGATCTTTAGTGACTTTAGTAATGATGATCAAGGCTAGGTCGAAATTTCAAACATTTAGTTCTCGGTTCATAGTGGATCAATTTGACTGAAATTTTCAGCAAATTGCCTTTACATTATCTAGTTTTTAACTATTATAGTGAGAACTGCCAACTCATTATTTAATCTCCCATAATGTATCTTTAAGCCAAACCCATTCTAAGCTTAAAGGATTTTCAGGGTTAACCAATCTATAAACTTGACATAATATATACTATTCAAAAAAAGTAGGGGATATTTGATTTTTAAGTGTTATTAAAGTCACCTAATGAAACTGACGAAGAAACAAATGACAAAATGAAATGAAGTTCACATTTATCGATTTATTCCAAATGATCGTTAGACTAAGTAAGGCACAGACTGACCATTATAAGGGTAAAATGATACCCGGCCGGGGTCAAACAGCAAAGTTACCACAGCATCACAACCAAGTCAGTAACGGGTAAATCCTCCTCTGTTTGCCAAACAAGCATTGATCCGACGTGGCATACTCCTAATGAGACGTCTAAGGTCATTTTGGTCCAGATTGTCCCATTCCTGTTGCAACGCAGCAGCAAGTTCTTGGACATTGGCAGGACGTTGTTGACGTTGACGTAACCTCTGTCCAAGCATGTCCAAGACATGCTCGATGGGGGAGAGGTCGGGACTCAGTGCTGGCCAAGGTAATGTGGTGATGTTCTGTTGTTGGAGGTAACCTGTAACGATCCTGGCCCTGTGACATCTTGCGTTGTCATCCTGGAAGATGAAACGGCTGCCATGGCGTCGTGCGAACGGCACAACATGGACTGCCAAGATGTTGTCCCAGGAGTACTGGCCTGTAACACGCCCTGCAACAACATGTAAAGCCGTTCTTCCAGCAACAGTGATGCCTCCCCACACCATAACAGAACCTTCCCCAAATCGATCATGTCTGATGACGTTAACGTCTTGGAAGCGCTCGTTTCGACGACGTCACACCCTCCTGCGTCTGTCCAAAAAATCAACAGTGAACCTTGACTCATCTGAAAACATCACATTGCTCCAGCGTCGATTATCCCAGTGTTGACGATCCCTACACCAACGACGTCTTGCCTGAATGTGATGATCTCTCAAACAAGGGATCACGCGAGGACGTCGGGCGCGAAGGTGACCCCTATGCAGTCGATTCCGAATCGTCTGGCCACTCACTCTCACACCAGTGTCTGTTTGAAGACGAGCGCTGATCTGATTTGCAGTGATGACACGATTTCTCAAGGCCAAGGTACGGATAAATCGATCCTGGGCTTGAGTTGTCGCCCTTGGTCGACCTGAGCGTGGTCTGTCCTGTACAGATTGTGTATCACGGTATCTGGACCATAGCCTGCTTATGACAGACTGAGAAACATTCATCGTCCGCGCCACAACCGCCTGTGTTGTGCCGATCTGTAGCATGCCAAGGGCACGTAACCTTTCATTTTGGGTAAGCCGACGCATATCAAAATTTGTTTTCTGGTCACTAAAACAATTAAACTGATGTTTCCACCCTGGAATTCAATGCCACAATGACTGTAACATTCAAAGTCAGAGTCGTGCAAATCTTGGGTTGGACCCCCCATGATGATCCCAAGCATCACATGCATTCCATGCGGTAGCTATTGGTGCGTTTGGGCGTCACATGTAACTGGAAATGTTTCTTCTGTTAGGTTCTATAGTGACTTTTTTCGTAGTCATTTGCATATTTTAGTATTATGCCCCCAAAATCAAATATCCCCTACTTTTTTTGAATAGTATAGTTGAATGTAGCACATACTGTATATGGAGATATGTAGTATTACAATTAAAAAATATATATGACAACACCAGCAAACATTTGCAATTATTGTTCTTCTGCAGACATTTGCAATTATTTTTCTTCTGCATACAGACGGAAAGAAATGGGGGTTTACCGTCCATTCGACACAAACTCGGCGATGTCGTGACTAACATTTGGTACAATTTTATTTCAATAATTCGTTTGTGCGTTGGCGTCTTTTGCGGTAGGAGATCGAAAACTCGTCATATGACTTGATGACAAAGCATATGACCTGGAGCGCAAGCCCGAGACTCGACCACTCAAATCAATCTTCTGCAAAACGTATTCTCCAGGGTTAATCCATCATTGTAGAACATCTACCAACGTGTGCATATTGAGTGATCAAGTGGTGAAGATTTCACAAGGTCCCGTGATCCGGGAAAATTATTGGCACTAAATTTTTATTACCAATCTTAAGGCCATCGACAAAAAGTAGCTATTTTGGGTATTACTAAATGTGCCGTTCAAATTCATTCATATATTAATATTACGACTTAAATAAAAATATAATAAATATAGTATAATACCACTTTACCAGGATGTGGTAAATACCTAAACCAAAGGTAACAAGCCACACCCCAAAATAAACAGATTGCATACATGTATATTAATTAATTGCACATTTATCTTTTAGTAAGGCATTAAGCAATCAAACTCATTAGCCGAGGCCGAAAATGCCCATGATTTTGATGTAGTGAAACTAGTCACCACGTTTCATCACTCATATTCAATTAAAATCAAATTATCGACCAATCAAATTGCTTATCTCTGCCCAGCCTTAGCAGAAAATGCAAATCATCGTACTCGGTCAAGTCACATGATGAACATCTACACGAAATTTAAACATACATGAACTACCGCAATTAGAAGCAGAGTGATGGTGTTCAAAACTCTTGACAAATCGAATTGATTATCGCTTCTTAGCTTAGCCTAAGCAGGAAATGCCCAGCATCGAACTTAGTCCATGTAATTGGCGTAATAAAATCATTTGTCAAGTTTCATCAGTCTGACTCAGTTTTGATCAAAGTTATGGTGCCCCAAAGCACAGTTACTTTGTCCCAAAAAGTGTGACAGGAAGGCTGACCGACGTATGGATAGACCAATTTTAACCGACTCCTGCTTTCTTAGAAGACGGGGGAGGGGGTATCTGATGCACGCTAAAACTAGAATTTAAACAGGTTATAAATGTCTTGATTAGCAAGGATGTGAAAATGACTGAGGCGTACAAGTGTGTTAAATATCAATTAAGTTACAAAGCACGACCCTGTATTTTACGGAGGATTATTCTCGAGGCTGTACTTTTTGGGTTTATGCTCAGGACACCGACACAGTTTTTATAGGTAACAACAGATTAAGAGGTTGTAGAGGTAATGGGATTAAAGGATTGGTATAACGCCTCATTACCGGTTAATTAATAAGTCGACATTTTTGCGAATTCTATACATGGATTATCAGTTTCACATAGCTAACATAGAATTATACAATTCAACAATGGGGAACATCAGCATATTTATAGATGTTAATGGCACCAGTAGATAATCTATGCTTTGGGTTTGACAACTGTCTGTCGACATTCCGGTACATTCTTCTTGTATTGTGTCTTTTCTATTCGGCTTCATATTGCAGCTGGTGGATCTTGGAAGATATTTTCTGTCTTTTTAAAAAGGTTATCAATTCATAAATATTAGAACGAGCCTTACCAATTATCTTCTTAAGCTTTCCATGCCATTCTTCTAAGTTGTTATTATTGTCAAAATCATCCAACTTTATGATAATCACCCTCTATTCAATATGTGGTGACATATTCGGCAAGTTGTTGGCATAGATTATAACGTATCTAACATTACATCTTATACTTAGTGCCATGGAACATCGTCTAACAAATTGGTCTGACTTGTATGGAATCTGTACTCCATAGTTTTAAGGGGGTCACCCCACTATGCCAGTTTTTAATCCCTGAACAGTTAATGATTATCGGATTATAAGTAACACCTTAATCAAGTGGGCCAGTTTCATGGTGTAGAGAACTGTGTTCAGTAGATTAATCGTTCAGCAGATTAATCATTTAGCATATGGCATGTGAACTGTGTTTATCATATTTATCATGATGATAAGCTCTTTTCAGAGGATACTATATATGGGATACGGTCAAAACCCCCTCCGGTCAGAACCCCCCTAGGTCAAAACCCCCTAAGTCAGAACCCCCTCTGTTCAAAACCCCCCATTTTTATATTATATAATATTAAAATCATTTCAAAATTATGTTTTTGTGGTTTGTGAAGTGAAGTACACAACAAAATCGATTATTTTTATATTTTATTTGCAATTATATGGGTGAAATTATTTCCATTGGATGGTGTGCCCAATACCTTTTATGGTTTGCACACAAGTTGTAAAGTCTTTCTTGTGGATCTCCTGTAGTTTTTTGGTGGTTGTCCGCGTGAGTATTGCAGGAGTGCAGTCTTGACATTGCTGTGATCCAGATGGAGATGTTCGAGAGCCCGCCAGATTGTGGGGTCTGATATTCCCAGCAGGGAACTAAACGCCCTGTTCCAAGACTCGCATAGATTGTTAGTGCGAGACCCACCACCAAGTGTTGTCAGATGAACGTTCCAGAGTTCTGCTGGGAATAGGGTTTGGTATAGGAGATTTTAAATTGTAGCGCCATGACTTCATTTGAGATTGATCAGATAATTGCTTTTCACTTGAATGATTACAATAACTGAGGCTATGTTATTAGACTGGTAAGATAGACTGGTAACTGAAAAACGGCGCCTCCATGAAGGGCATTACACCGTCATCCAGTACAGGGATGCTGTCTCCCACATAGTAGGCTTGTAAAATTAATTTTAGAATTATTGAAAATGTATATTTTATAGGAAAATGTTTGTAAGTGAATGGAAAATGATTAAAGGAAATGTTTAAATGATAACTTGTATATTCTATGCTAAAATGATAAAAATGTATTATAATGTGTAAAAAAGTGGATGTGAAATGTTATAAAGTATTGAACTGAACTGTCTTTCAGTGAATGATAACTTGTACATTCTATGCTAAAATGATAAAAATGTATAAAAATGTATAATAATGTGTAAAAAAGTGGATGTGAAATGGAATAAAGTATTGTTTGAACTGTCTTTCAGTGAACTGTTTTAATCGTCTGGTAGACCCTTAATTAATCCTAACTAATCCCCATTGTTGCATCGTTAATTGTCAATTAATCCCTTAACAAAGGAACTGGCATAGTGGGGGGAAATCGTTTTAGGTAATAACAGACATTCCATTCTGCATTAGGAAAACCTATTGTGCAGATGTTGACTTGTTAATTAACCCGTAATGAGGAGTCATACTAATCCTTTAATCCAAATTACCTCTACACCTTCTTAATCTGTTATGGCCTATCAAAATAATGTCGAAGTCTTGAAAAGATACCACTTTTTTCAGGGGAGTCGTTTATTCTTTACTTGTTAACTTGAACAGTCACAAAAAAACACTAAACTGGCTCATTATTCAGCATTCTAGCCTCTAAAGGTTAAAATACATTGCCAACATAGGTTTATATAAAGGGAGAAAATTCTCGGCAAGTTTGATCCAGATGTAATGTAGCCGCAGACAAACCTGTTTTATATAACATGTCTAATGAAATAAGATTGTTTAAACACTCGAAAAGCCAAATTTTATTGATTCAAAAAAACGTCATGGGATCATTCTATGTGTGATGATGTATACTAGCAATAATAGTTTTCACACCCGTCAGTCCCTTTCACACCATGTAATATCACGATTTTTGGATACTTTCCAGAGGTTATCCTGTAAAATTATAGTTTTTATTATCCCCGTTATACATTCAAGGCCAAAAGTTTGAGACCACACTTTTGTCAATGACTGCAGTTCTTTACCACATCCAGGTATGCACATGTAGTTAGTTCTATTCATTTTCTAGTGACAGTACCTGTTTCCTTTGTATCTCTTGCATGGTTTGAGATAATAATTTGACCATGTTTTCTTGTACAGATGCTAATCGGTCTATTCTCTCTAAACCTTGTTTGTAAATATGTTTCATATCATCCTGTTGAGAACAAAACAATACCAATTAACACTGTGCTAACAACGCATAAAAAAAATTGAAGTATGACCCTCTATATCCTCAGTTCCTGAAGATGAAATCCACACTTGCTCCTTGGCATCACAAATAAAATATACCGAGTTGTTGGAATGGAGCAACACAGCCTACCCTTGTGCTCATTGGCGTGCACGTCAAAGAACAAGAGACAGGTCGTGAAGATGATGTTTAAGTCCCACTCCTACCTCCTACATATACCATGCAGTGTGCAATGAGGTAAAATTGGCCCATACAGCGGCGTTTCCGCCTACTCTTAATTGAATTTCAGCTGATAAGGGTTCTTTTACACGCATACCCTACCCACGTGTACACGAACCCCGTTTTTCTTCTTACCCGAACGACTAAAAACTATTTCTCGCCATGCACGACTGAAATCGGGGAACCACAATGAAAAACCTACGGAAATAAATATCGAAAAACACCGGGGTCAAAACCAGAAACTTATGGATAGTGAGCCAGCACCTTCTTCACCGAGAATCGAAGAAATACCACTATCGAGTCAACCTTATCCGACCTTGCACTGGACAGGTTTCCATGGCAGTAAAAATTAACATTGCTATGTCCCAAAATAACCGAATATGACTTTGACAAGACATTAAACCCCATTCCATTATATTTTGCAATAGGAAAATATCTGACTCACTAGTTTAGATTCCATGGTATTTCTAAGTTGTTTCATCTCAGCGGCTTGCATCTTGTAAAACTCCTCTTGTTTTTTTTCAAGAAAACTATTACTGAAAGACAAAAATATCTGCAAACGTAATCAGTTGCATCATATTCTTGCCTCATTTTCCAACTTATCTGATCCTATGATTATTCAAGAGACGAAAAGTAAGGCAAAAGTAATTTAATAATTAATTTTTAGTGTCTTACATTTGACTGCCCCCGGTCGTATGCTGTAATATTTTTCATTCTACATCCCCTGACAATCGATTTTTTGAGAACACTCTTATTTGTGCTAGGATTTGGGTCATAATGATTGGCTACATAAATTTATCGTGCACTAATTTACCTATGCTTATTTACACACGACTAGAGCAAGGATCGAGTGTACATAGGTACAGTCAGATATCTAGCACGATAACCGCTGGGACGGTTATACGAATTCTTGTTAATAAGCAACTACCGTAAAGCATTATCAGCTATAATATTAATATAGGATGAAATTAGAAAAATAATCATCAACAAATTATTTAAATCTTTCTAAGGTACCTGTTTGAGAAAGTAGACATTGCTTTCGAATCTTGGCAGAGTTTTATTGGACTAAAAATCTCGGATTTGGCGGGAGGTGGTGGACTCGCACTCGATTCTCGGCTACTGTAAATAACAGAACAAATATTAAACACTCGTCAATTTGCAACAATCCAACTGATTTGATAATGTGTTTGTCCAAAATGAGTTTCATATGTACCCTTTCATCCAAAAAGATATATTTGTTAAACTTTACTTTTATAGATATAAACGTAAATGTTTTACCTTAAAGCAGGAAGACCAACAGGTGATGCAGCATTTGAAAGTTTGGAACAATTAAATGAAGGTTTGACAGATGGACCCGTCAATGATCGAACTAAAGACGGAGAGGAGGTAGGGCTAGCTGTAGGACTTCTTGAAGACTGACGCGAACCACGTGCTGAAGAAGGACCCGAGGAATAATCATCTCCACTTTCTACTGTTTCTAACGGAGCATTTTCAACAGAATAACTTCTAAATCCCATATTTTGTCTTTTGGTTAAAATGTCCTTACGAATGAATAACAAATCATTGGGTTTTATCACTTTTTTAGCATCAGCTTTTAATAAGAGTTTTGTCGATGGCGTATCGTGTTCTGGACAAAAAGATGTAGTGTCAGTATCGTGGTCCTCAGTATTTACGGCTTCATACCCTGAATGTTTGTTTGAGAGTTTTTGGTGAATTGCATTAGCGATTGTATTACCCGATTCCTTTTTACCGCACTGGTCAGCAGAACTAAAACGTATTGTTTTCGGACGACCTTCTTCCACTGAAGACCAAACAATGCGTCCTTCCGAATCATCGCCTGTCTTCTGTCGACGAACCTTCCTGTGAAAAAGTCTACGGATGCCACCATAAACTCTATGCAAAACACCTGCTTCCACTTGGACACACTTTATATCATCTTCTCCAGGATAAGTGAATACATTGTTGCTTTTCCCATCGTTGGGAGAATGGGGTCCAGCACGCCGAACCTTTGGTGACATATTTCGTAAGGTGGATAATAAATTGTTCCTAACGATTGGATTCTGGTGATGCTGTAATGGCTTCACTTTATTTCTATGGGCTTCAATTTCCCGTAGACGTCTCTGACCGTAATCTCTGATGATGGACTGTAAGAGAATAATAGAACAGTGTTATACTTAAGAAAACCCATTGTGAACACAGGGATAATGGAGAGCTGAAATCGAAGACCGTTAAATGATTGGCGAGGGTTTACATAGTTAAAGAAATCAAATAACTACTATGAGTTGGAATAAGATGCGGTAAGAGTTTCCTCAAGGTAGTTCCTGTTCATGTACGCCCACTACTTTCATTTTTCCAATAGATCAAATGGCTTACAATAGAAATAACATAGATATTAAACTAATATTCTTGAAACTAACGTTATTATTTAATTTTATGTGGTCGATTATTTGATCAAGGTAGGATTGTATTCTGTATATGATAAAGAGCATATCACTGAAAGTCTAGACATTATACAAGTCACTCCTTTATTTTGCATAGTATTACATAGTGAGAAGCATTCCACTGCAACTCCGGATAAACCAAAAACAGAAACAAAACCATAAATTGTTTGTTGCTATAAAAACGGCCACGCCATAAATATTTAAAGGGGATTTTTATTCCACATTAGTAGGTGCAATGACAGATAATGCATGGATTTTACACCTAATTTATATTTAATTGAGCGATAACGTGATATATTCATGCAAACTAATTATCCAATTGCAGTCCTAATGTAATAAACTATTCGATAAATGTCAATTAGCGATCAATAATGGTATCATGAGTTGCAGAATCACCAAGTATAGCTCACGGAGTGCATAATTGATCAACTCCAAAAGTGTTTCCAAAACCGCGATACGCTCGTAAATACATGTATATATATTGTTATATACATGTTATAACATCTTAGAGAACATGTATAATATTACATTACTGTGTAAAAAATAACAGTTTGACTGTGTAAAAAAATAACAGTTTTACATGCACACACATATATATATTATGTATGAGTTGTTCAATTGTAGCTTTAATCACTACTTGATTACCCATGTGTGCTCCCATTCTTCAAATCATTTAGCGCTGATTGTTTTTGGGTAACAAACGGATTTTGAAGTTGCAGCCGATTATACGAGATTTAATATCTTGCTAATGAGAGCTCGTGTAACTAACATTGCTGTCTATTTGCAAAAAATAACAGAAACAAGACAGTATCAGTGACCTGGGTTAACTTAATACTAAGTGCAGGGGTACTGCACCAAACATAATTTACACACAACAAATCTACGGACAAGACACAATACGCAGAAATCACAAACAAACGAACATATCAAAATAAGTAAATGGATCCGGTTTACAACGCAGTCACATTTGATTCTTTTGTTAAGATCCAATCTTCTTTCGATATTCTAAATAGACATGCTGGGGTTTTTCTCTAATATTCCATGCTGAATATGATCACTGCAATTCCACAATGTATAGATAACCGTAGATCATTAGATATATTTACAAAATCTTGACCGTTGATGTCACATAAGATATTCAATAATTCTAAAACTTCCTTTCAGAGGAGAATCAATTAACATTGGCCATCCAAACATTAATATGGTATCTGAAAGCAAATTTTCTCAAGAATGATCCAGACATAACGTATTATCTCATTAAGAATTCATTTAAGAATCAATAAACTCTTGACAGATTTTTACCTCGGCATCAGGGTGATCTTTCAAGGCGCCAAGTACATCTTCACGAGATAAAACAAATAATTCCGAATAACCTACAGATCTTACGTCTGCTGTTCGCCTGGAAAAAAGATAGCACCAAATACGTTATTAATTAAAACAGAAAGAGCTTGATAAACCAGTTATACTTTCAAACCAAAGCCCTGGAAGGGTGCTATTGTCCAGGATTACCAGAATGAACCTGGCCGAAACTGTTTAAGGAAAGCGGGAAATTTGTACGCTCGACATTTCACTAAAATAAAACTTGCAGAGAATATGTTGAAGTCAGAAGTAAAATAGAAAATAGCACTGCAAATAGCACATATTATGAACTAGAGATAAACATAGCTCCGTTTCGGATTTGTCATCTCGAGATAAACGGGTAAACGTTGCCAGGCTAACCTTTCTTATCATGTTTAGTTGGTTCTTGGGTTATATCCCAGTTAATATGGAAACCCCAGCTTCCATATCGACAAGTGACACGTTTATTTGGTCTACATCAATACATTTTTAAAACGAGCTCTGTTATTATTTAACATTTACCATCGCTATTTCTATTTCTGGCCTTCACCGTTGTATTTGTATTGTAGAATTTCACTGGATATCACAATACCCTTGTATTTTTATCGTTAGCTTTCACTAAACAGCACAATACCATTGTATTTGTATTGCTGGCATTCACAAAACAGCAAAATATCCCAGTATTTGTATTGTAGGCTTTCAATGGATATCACAATACCCTTATTTGTATGGTAGGCTTTAACTGGAGAACACAATACCTTTGTATTTGATGATGACACTATCTCTAAGATTCTCTCTTTTCATATTGTATACTTGTTACAGGGATTATCCCGAAAACGTAGCTATATTTAATGGGGAAACTCTGTATAATTCATACTGAAATACGAGGCAGGGGGGGGGGGGGGGTGTCACTTCGCGGATGTGACTTCTTTGTGCGGTATAAGCGTTGTAGTCTTTCCTTCAAAACGTTAGATCATAGTATTTAATTGCAGCGGGAATATCATTTCTGTGTTTCTAATTTTCTTTTGTGTGTATACTAGTTGGTTGTGAAAGTACATCTGCTCAATTATTGTCGCAGTTTTTAAATGTTTATTATCAATGAAATTAAAATCAACAAAGATCTAACAGTTCATAATATAACGGATACGTAACTAATTAACTATGGAGCGGAATTTACCTCATAATTCTAACTCCTAATCTAGTAATACGTATGCTAATATGCTTACTTCTATACATGTTAAATTGGCTATTTACACATGTAAAAATGTTAATTTATATGACTTATTTATATGTATTTTGTTCTATTTCCATTATTACTTTTAATTTTGGTAACAGATGGCGCGGTTTACAGTTGTATGGAGGTTGATTGGGGACATGTAAAATCTCGCCTTTTTCATATGATAAAAATCATAAACTATTTTATGTACAAAGGCAAACTATTCTAGATATTTTTAAAATAAATAGACTTCTTTGTCGTGCATTTTTCCTAATACTGCTATATCGATTGATTTGGCTTATTTTGTTACTAAAAGAACAATAAAATATATAGTAAGAACTCATTACGTCATGCATGAGAGTGAATAAATAAATATAAATAGGCAATGATTAGTTTAGCGTATCTTTTCCCCTCGAAATTATGAAACATTTTACGCACACAAGTAAAGTATTTTTGATATTATTTTAGCTTTCTATTGGGTCAAGCTTCCAAATCATCGTGAGCCGCGGTGGCTCGGTGAGCAAGTCCCTGATTCGGTCTCGGGTTCGCTCCCTGTGTTGGAAGAAAGTCCGTCGTGGTTTCCCTTTTTCATTGTTGCAAGACGGGGTTCCTGACAAGGAACACTGTCTAGTGGTTTTAATGGCGTGCACGTAAAAGAACCCTTGGCAGTTGGAATTTGAAATAAGAGTAGGCCGTAGCCTACTGCACACTTCATGCCGTATTCCCATCTTGATTAGCACAGTGGGTGCTGAACGACGGGACGTTAAATTCTATTTCATTTAATTTAAAGATACATTATGGGAGATTAGATAAAGAGCTGGCAGTTCTCACCATAATAGTTAGAAACTTAGACAATGTAATGTTGATTTGCTGAAATTTTCAGTCAAATTGATCCCACTGTACCGAGAATTTAGCGATTGAATTTCGGGCCTTGCCTCGATCATCATTACTAAAGTCAAACTGATCCACTCTGTACCGAGAATTTAGCGATTGAATTTTGGGCTTAGCCTCGATCATCATTATTAAAGTCGGTACGATAAAAAACCCCAACATAGTCTCGAGAGTTGATTATGGCCTAGATAAGTTAATTAATGTCTAATTAATAATTTAGATAACATTTCAAGCCTAAAGAAAGACCTGCAATAGGCAGATTTAGCTCTTGCATAATGTATGTTTAATATCCAAATCATCGGTTTTGTCTTATGAGGTAGGGGGTTTCTTTTGACCATTGGGCGAACGATTCGCCTCTTGTATTGATCTTACTAATCTCATTCCAAAGTTTGGTATACAGGTCACAATTCTATGGAATACAATTACTGCTTTTTACTGAGCGACGTTTCGACTAGGCTTCTCTAGTCATTATCAAGCTATGATAAAAAATGAAAATATGACAGGACAATATATACATGTACCCTACCATGCTTAGTTAATGCTGACAAACCAACGATGAACAGAGATCAAGGATTGTTCCTCCCCAGGGCGTATGATATTCTTATCACATAATCAAGGCTGAGCATAATTCTTTTTTTTCCTTTTTTATCATATTTAATACTTATCAATATTCCAGTAATAATTTTAAGTTTGTAATAACCATCATAATTTGCAAAAATGATAACTAATAATTCCCAACTATTTTCGCTTTTCAGGCATTTTTGCTTTTCAGGCCTGCGGTTATTGTAATTTAATGCACTCAATAGTTCTAACCCTGCCTTTCTACATCACTATACCATCCAGTGAAGTACCACTCAATATTTTAAATTGTCAGCCTTCAGGGGACTATTGATCATTTGTGCAGTCATTGTTCTAAGGGTTTTTCGTATATCAGTAGAATCACTCGCAACAACATCCACATATCAATTATTTTTGTCATAACACCAATTAAATCTCATCTTCTTGGGATGTTGTCATTATCAAAACCTCATCAAATCGTTGTAAATACTCCACAAAAATCTATTCTTTTATCATTTGTATTTATTACAGTGAAAGGGGTCGTTGATAACATTTCATCAATTTTCATTTTCTTTCAACGTTTGTATTATTAAAACCCACTAATCATTATGTATACTCCACAACAACTTATCCATTAATCAATTAGTCAATTTTTAGGTTAATTGGTATTATTACTTATTAGCGTTTAATTAAATCAGATTACCATTAGGTACACGTAATTAAGTTGGATCCCTGGTTTGTCAGCATTAACTAAGCATTGTTGTGTACATGCATATATTGTCCTGTCATACTTTCATTTTTTATTATAGCTTGATAATGACTAGAGAAGCCTAGTCGAAACGTCGCTCAGTAAAAAGCAGTAATTGTATTCCATAGAATTGTGACCTGTGTACTCTAGTTCAATTACTAAATGCCATTGAAACAGTTTTCCAAAGTTTGGTGTCATAACTAATTGGATAAAGGCCAAACAAATTTGAGATTGGTATAGTTTTGCATTGTGTAATACATCTACCAATGTTTGTCCGATTTAGAGACACTTAAAATATGCGTTAAAGACCGAAAGATCTTGGATGCGCATATATCTGACATCAGATCACGGCATCTTCCGTCTTTTGCGTAAAAAGTGTACGTAGTTTGTTCACCCAATTTGAGATGAAACTTAAAATATGGGTTAACAATCGAAAGATCATAGATTTGTTTGATTTCGGAGTGACCCCCTTTGTCGAAAACATTATGAATGCGATACAGGCTATAGTTTTTAACATTTTTTTTAAAATTTTGTTATGATCCCTTAGCCAAAAACCATATCGATATTCAGTGTTCTGCAAACCCCCTTTGCGGAAAACCGTGTAAACTCTAAATGATATTTTTCATCTTCGATGTGAAGAATTTGGGCGGGGGGGGGGGCTATCGATTTTCACTATTTATCGCCCATTTCTTGCACAGATGTGGACATAGCTTGCCTAAGAAATTTACAGTGTGTGTGTAGGGGGGGGGGGGGGGATTATGCTTTGCTGTAATTTTATATCTGAATTATCATTTCCTGTTTCTCAATCCAATCTCAAATAAAATAAGATATTGTTTATAATCCAAAGCGAACACACAAAAAAACTTTGTTCTACTGGCGTATATCTATATTACTTAAATATTATAAGAATAATTTACTTTTGTACGTAAAATATTTTATATATCTTTAGAGAAAAAAAAGGGTATTACTTCTCTGAAAAATATCGAGAACGAATATTGCAAAAAAAGAGGCTAAATTAATTGATATGGCCGTATTATGGCAAACGCACGACAAAGTAGCCTATTTATTCAATCTGATTAAAACACAGATCCTATTTCGTTTCGTTTTTATAGTTCAAAATTTTCGTTTTACTTGGCTTTACTACACTAGGGTAGGCCATCGAAAGTATAAAAAAAAGAAACAAAATATAGATCTGTATTTTAATTAGATTGCCTAATTTATTCATCTGAAAAATATCGAGAATAATTTGATTTTGTACGTAAAATATGTTATTATTTTTCTATTTCGTTTCGTTTTTATTGTTCAAAATTTTTGTTTTACTTGGCTTTACTACACTAGGGTAGGCCATCGAAAGTATATAAAAAAAGAAACGAAATATAGATCTGTATTTTAATTAGATTGCCTAATTTATTCATCTGAAAAATATCGAGAATAATTTGATTTTGTACGTAAAATATTGTCATGTCTGACGGGTTATGAAAAGGGAGAGATTTTACATGTCTCCAATGAACCATCATATAGTAAACAGTGCCATCTGTTAGCATAATGAGCGTTAAAATTATGACCCCCTTTTAACCCGTTGTGATAAGTCATAATTCTAACTCTCATTTTGTTAACAGGTGGCGCTGTTTACTATATGGTGGCCCAT